AATTTAAAGGGAAAAAAAAAAAAAATTCTCCCCCTGATTTTAAAAACAAAAAAAAAAATTCTTTTTTTTTTTTTTTTTTTTTTTTTTTTAACTGTAATCTCATCTTGCTCTGGTAGGAATGTAGATCCATGAGTTCACAGTGCTGTGTGGAGATCTAGATAAAAAAAAAAAATACTGCAGTGAAGCAATAGTGAGCTTAATTGTTTTGGATAGCATAGAGTAGGCAAAGAGTCAGTGTGTAGTGAAGTTGCATGGCAACCTCATTGCTGACGAAACCCGACTGTCTGCCACATTCAGTCATTTTGTGGAAGTTTGACTAATCCAGTGATCTTACAAACAGTGTTACAGTACTGAAGAAAAAAATAAACTAGACCAAGATTCATTTTGCATACATGACAGCACATTGACAATCAGGCTGCATGTCTTTAAAGACTTTGTGGAAGCTATGAAGAAGGTTAGAGGTTGATCCACGCTGAACTCCAGCTCAATAGACACGATGTTAACTTTTTTTTTTTTTTACAAACCTCCAAAGAAAGAACAAGATGCTGTAGAAAATACACCAAAAGCAGCCACTGAAACTGCATAGCTGGTTAACTAGGCTGTAATTTAATGATATAACATTCAATACAACATCTGAAATGTGCATCTTTGGTCACATTTCGTCCCATCATTTACCAAAGTTTAGAACGTTTTCAGCATATTTATGTAAAACCGTTATAAATAAGCAATATTTTAATCATTTAGTTTAATTCAGTTTACTCGTTTAATACCAACAATTCCCACAAAAGTAATTTGAAGGCAAATGAGTTTAAGTTCAACACTTAGCTACATAGAGTCCAATCATATAGTTCGATTCAGATCCAAATTAAAAACTGTTGAGTTCAGTCCTAGTTGTAACACAATACAGATTAATTCAGTTGATCATTTAGTGCTTATTAATAAGAGGTTTAAGCCGATTGCACCGAGCAAATCTCTCATTCTGAGCAAACTTGTTTTTTTATTATCATTGGCAAAACAGTTTTGCAAGCAACAACGCTGTGCTCATTATCAAAATGTCAATACAACAGGAAGAATGCTGACATTTTTTAATCACCGCCATGAGGAAAAAGTGTTCCTTTATGAATAGTCAACAAGTCAGTGAGAGGCAATTTTGGACATACAGAGTGGACTAGAGTGAAAACAACATGGAATAAAAAGCGAGACTGATGCTGTAATGCTAACAAGAAACATAAAAACAAATACATAAATGTTATGCATGTGTGAATAAGACCTGGACGGCAACATAGCTGGATGAACTAGACCATCCAGTTGTTTGGTTTCTACAGCTGGAAATGCATCTGAAATGATGCATTTTTAGAGAGGACTGGAAAGTCTTTCAAAATGGAATGAGATCATTTTTCCCCAACACTCATAACTACTCCTATTATGTTACCAAACAAATAGTAATTTTAGTAAAGAAAAACTCAACTGAGCAGCCTAAAGAGTTTTATTTACAATGATTTCTACAATCTTGTTTTCTAACAACTCTAAAGAGAGAAACAATGTGAAAAGCTCCTGCAAAGACCACAGACCAGTTTTTCAGCATTAGTTTGTAAACAAACAGACTTTAGAATATGTGTACATATCTAAATGTACTATATAAAACTACCTGGAGGACATTTCTCAAAAGTCATTACCATGGTCCGCCTCTCCTTATGAAAGGCCTGACTATAATTTGACTCATACAACAGTAAGGACCTCACACAGCATGTATTTGGAACAAGGGTAACCACTGGGCTTTGCTAACGGATTCGCTCAATGACCAGGATAACTACTGTTGGCAACACAAATCGACTATTATGAATTTTTCTGCATTTTTGGATCTGAAGAAATATTGCACTGACTTGACCAGCTGTGTACAACTGATTCATTGAGGCACAAACAAACACACACACACACACACACACACACACACACACACACACATAAACAGTTTATTACCACAGCCGTCACCAGATCTTAACATTCAGATTTCTGGACTGTGGGAAGAAGATGGAGTGGCTGGAGAGAGAACACATACATGCATGTGGGAAACATGCAAAATCCATGCAGAACGCAAGGTTCTTGTTAAGAGGTATTTACCCATGAGAGATTTTTCTACCACACATCACCCACAGAGGGAACACAATGTAGCAGCTCCTCTGTAATGAAGCTTTACCATAGAAATGGTTGGATTACAGACAACAATAGTGTTTTAACTAAAAGATTTAATTATGTATAAACAATAGCAGACTTTCTCTATTTTTTTAATTAAATGTCATGGCTTATAAACATTGCAATATTAAATTTTGGGTAGGTACTACACTGCATTACATATCTAATTTTATCCGCTAGGGAAAGGAATATGTGCCCAACTCATTTGCAGTCAGCTTCCAAGAGCAACATGCAAATCAATGAAATGGAAAGAAATGGAACAGCAAGAACAAGGCAGAACAAGTTTAGCTGAAGTCACCAAATGCCTTCACTCTGCCTGGTATTTATTTGTTTCAGCAGTGATTAATGATTGTGGCAGCTGTGAGGTTTTGACTTGGATGCCAACGCCACGCCCCTGCTTTTTCTGATTTTTTTTTTTAAGTACAGGTACATGTTTTAAATATATATATATATATATATATATATATATATATATATATATATATATATATATATATATATATATATATATATGTATATGCACACACACTCTTATATTAGCACTCAAACCAATGTTTTGTATACTCTTAGTGCCATGTAAGATTCCAGATATCTCTTTTACATTGCAAAACACAAACATAAAACAGAACAAGGTGAAAACCTTTCACCTTTCAACCTTCCTTCTGTCTGTGTTAGACGTGCACAGCCGACAGACGGGCCATAACACATGTAGACCGGCGTGAATCTGTCAGTGCTCTGTGTCTGAAACCCTTTCACTCAGTTTAAAACCAAACAACTGACAAAAAACAGCATTTGTGAAGGAATGCAGAAAGACATCGACATGCACAGCCTTTTGACTCCTCTGATAAAGTGTTGCACCTCCTCTGCACACATACGCATCTTCCCCTGCATGACTGCTGTGAACAGCATATGAGAAACGCACAATAAAACTGCTATAAGACACCCCAGACACCTGCCACTTCAAACAAAGCTTATAACTTATATGTGAAAGCGCAGAGGACACACAAAGTCTAACTCGTTCCAGATGCGATGCCCGTCACACTTCTTATTTCAGAGCAAGAAGTTGCACAAAATTCATTATTTTTATAACTCATTCAGCATGCATTCACTGTGCAACTAAAAATAAATAAATAAATAAATAGTTGTAGGAATTTCATGTTTCCAAAACAATTCTAAAATTTACTTAGGATTTTATTTGCACCAACATGTTTTTGCAGTTCCACAAGTTAAAGGAGTTCAGATTTTTTACATTTTAGCGTGTTCCTCATTACATTCATTTGCTTTATTTAGTGTTTATGACACAACAAGCGCACACAGTTTTACTCTGCAGAGGAGCAACACTGACACTAGATATTGCAACACTTTGATGACTTTCATAAAAGTCTGCTTTGGAGTTATCGAGTTCAATAGATAATTATGCCAGAGGTCACCAATGCTTGGGCCAGGTTCTAGATCTGAATCTAACCTAGTTTTGAAAACCTTAGCTTGAGATTTGTGAAATATTCACTGTCAGCTGAAAAAAAACGTAAACTTTTATAAATACTGTTGCTGAAATCTTGTCTTGTTCTTGTTCTTGTGAGCTTCATCTACCATTATGTCCTAGTTGAAATAGTGCATATCATGATGTCATGTGAAGGTCCAAGTACGCAACAGTAATTTAGTGACAAATCTGTGAAATGTGAAAAGAAACAGCAATAGAGTTAACAAAATAAGTTGTTAAAAAATCTTAGGAAAATCTGGGAAATTGGTGAATTTTTAAAATTTCAGAACCATTCCAATAAAGTATGCATGTTGAAAATCAAAATAAAGAAAGTAGAGATGGTTTAAATCTTTTACACATTCCTGCAGTACATTTGTAAGATGTAGCATTGGGAGACAGTGAGAAAAGACCTTACAATAAAAAACAGGCCTCAGCTGTTTAGCCCCAAGTTTGTTTCTCTAATTGTTCCTTTAGGGACGTTTAGAGGCCAGAAAGCTGTAGTTTTAGACAAACTATGATCCGTTGGAAATAACACACTTATTTATAATCTGGGTGGAGTGAAAACCTTGACAAAATACAGTGAATGCTGATTTTTGGACTATTGTAGACTCATTATGTTGAAATGTTCTACTCAAGACAATCACACACCACTTTGTGTTGTTTTTTCACATTAAACCTAAGAAAATCCATTGATGTGGAAAAGGTCCAGGTGTTTTAATACTTTTACAAGCTGCAATTTTTAAAAGAGGTTGAAAAGAGAAGCAGTGCTCACCTGTTCCTTCCCTGTCTGAATGCAGTCTTCTCTCTTTCCAGGTAACGGAGGCCAGTAGATCTGTGGAGGAAGACAAACCAAAGGGGCATTTAGGACGGACGTAAAAGAAGAACTGGATAATTAATAGCCTCATAACAGTGAAATTATACAAACAGCCATTTTATTTGACAATGTAGCAAAATGTGATTGCTTTGGGGAAGCAATTACTAATTGATGGTAAAGCAAACAATTACCATAAATCGACTGCTTTACCACAACTTTCCGGTAAACAAAAACAAACACATACTCAGCTTTAGTATCATTAAATGAGATTAATTGAAAGCAATTTACTAAGTAGATCACATACATAAGATTTTTAATGAGCAAAGGGGGAACTTCATGGTAGACAAGCCAAAGCTTTATAGTACGTACTGAGGTAATATTTGAAAATGGTACATAAAATTTGCAGGCTTGAAACTGATGTAATATCAGACGAAGCAATAAAGTTTTTTATGGGTCTTATTAAATTCTGTTCGGCTTTCACACCCATCTTTAGCAATATGGGGTTCTTTTTAAACAAACATTAGACCTGTATTATGATCTCATGTCCAGGATTTTTCTTTTTTTTTTTTAGTTGACAAGTGCTGTTGCTCCCCGGTTTGTAAAGATTATTGAATGATTTCTTTGTTCAATAGTATGGGTAAGGTTGAGAAACTGTGCAACACGAATCAAAACTATTCTCAAAATACACTAAATATGACAAGTATGTTTTTTTTAAAAAAAAATACAAATATAAAGTAGGATTTTCTATTCTTTTTTCCTCTAGATTCCCACTGTAACGGTCCAAGAGGCATGAATGAGAAAATCTGTTGGATTCTCGGTGACGTGTGTGAAATGAAAACTGTACCCCAGACACTGAGGCTATTCTTTCCACTGCTGTCTGCAAATGTTGTATTCATACTTGCTGTTTCTGTAAAGAAAGGCCCAGGGCTGCCTCTGTCGGGGTTCAGTGACGTTGGTAAAACTGTTGTTTTGTACCGACTTCTAAAGACAATAAGCATTTGTCTGGTGCAGAAGGAAACTGGCTTTGTTTTGGCTAGTCGAGATAAAAGCAACCAGTGGGGGGGAAAAACAAATGACCCAGACTTGCATTAGGTTGGCTCACTGACTCCAGAATATGCATGGAGAACATGTGCATGTGCTTAGGGCTCCTGCCGCAGCTATAGGGACAGAGTGAGAATGAATCAGAAGCAGTAAAGTGCCTTGTTGGCCTCAAAGCTGAACCACATTCTCTTCTTGTACCAATTACACATGGATTTCATGTCAGCAGTAAAACTGTAAGGCACACTGTATATCCTCTGACATAAACTTCAATATCACCAAAATCCTCCCAGTGGACTTGGTGCAAATCTGAAAAACTAAAAGCATCCACCCAAAATTGTATAAATCATTTATACTTTATGTTTCATTTGTATTAGTAATGTGAAAACTGAAAAGCAAGAGGAACCTTACTGACCCAGCCTGGTAAGAATCAATGGCCCAGTCCAGAGGATCTGGACTATTGAGAAACGATTGCTTCCGGGAGGAGTGGACTGTGTTGAGGTTTTAAATGTTACCCATTTGGCTGTGACGTATGTAATGTGCCAGTTCAATGTTAAGAAGCTTACCACAAACTGCCTGCAATGTAAACAACTGTCCTCCACTGCAAAGAGAGAAGTGCTGACCCGAACAAGGTGACTGTTAATCTTAATTCAATATTTGGAAGAGCGAACGGACTGAACAGGTTCCTTCACTTCCTCTGCTGCCATTGTTAAAACTAGAGGCAGACTGAAAATCGATGCTGTTGTTCACGCTTCTCTTTCTGTTCACTGATTGGTCCGGTTGAAAACCGTCCGGAGACAATCAGAGTTAAAGAGAGCGAGCCTAGATTGTGATGAAAGCGAGAACTTTTTTCAAGTGGAATTGCACAGGAAGGCAATATTTATCATATCCGTTTAACAAAATGGTGTCATTAAAAACACGTCTCTGGTAGTCAGTCTCAACTATCAATAATTTAGAAATCCATCCATTTTCTTTACACCCTTGTCTCTTACTGGGATCAGGAGGGGTGCTGGTGCCTATCTCCAGCTAACGTTCCGGGCGAGAGGCGGGGTCACCCTGGACAGGTCGCCAGTCTGTCGCAGGACAACACAGAGACACACAACCATCCACACTCACTCACACATAGGGGCAATTTGAAGAGGCCAATTAACCGGTCAGTCATGTTTTTGGACTGTGGGAGGAAACCGGAGTACCTGGAGAAAACCCATGCATGCACAGGGAGAACATGCAAACTCCATGCAGAAAGACCAGGAAAAGAACCCAGAACCTTCTTGCTGCAAGGCAACAGCTCATTTAGAAATCTTTGTCTAAAAAGTTCATTTTATACAAAAGTAAACCAAGAAAATATGCATGGTTTTCTAAATGATTTCCAGAATTGTGTCAATAATTTTATGACGGTGCTTAGCAGTCCTCTGCTGCAGTGATATTGCAGATATGTGACACTGTAAAAAATATTTTATGGTGAAAAATGTAGAAAAAAAGATTTAGACTGAGCTGAGGTTAGGCTTATGTAATTTAATAAATTATAAATTTAACCAGAAGGTTTTATTTAAACCCATCCAGCTTTATGGAGAAGAGGAAGAAAACGTTACTTTTGGTCTCAAAATACATCGTTAAAGATCAAGGCTTAATTAAACTGAACAAGGCTGACTAACTTAAAAGCATGCAAGACACGCATCATTATCAAGACAAGATTACGTTTGATATTCTCACAAAGTTTAATCTTTAACCAGAGTAATCTTTAATCTTAAACTTAAAACAGTGGCATAATTTAGGGTTTTTAATAAAACCTTCAGATTAGATTACAGTGATGGCGTCTTTATAGGCAGCTGCAGTTCATCCAAAATACTGCTGGCAGAGTCAACACCAGGAAAATGGCTCACACCACACTAGTCTTCAAATAACTTTGTTCCTCTAATTTTCTGTAAATCAGTCTGAATTATAATATTTGAACGGCGCAGCATATTTCCATGCTTTGCTTTATCATACATCTCTCTGAATGGGAAAAATATTTGGCAAATGTCAACTTTCACTCAAACTCTGTATAGAAACTGGGAGATCTTGATTATGCTGTAATCTAATATGACAACGTTAACATGACCACAGTCAGACAGCTCCACCTTCTTATCAAAGGATTGGCTATTCTCTCAAACATCCAATCTTCCTTTATGAGCGCTTTTTTTTTCTTCTAAAACTGAATCATCATTAGAGATTATATGTTTTATGTTGAGTAAAATGAAGTTAAAATAAAAGGTGGAACCAAATGCGTCAGCTCTCTGAAGATCTTTATTTGGCATGATTCAGAATAATCCACACTAATGTGCGTCATTGCATTACGACAAACTCTGACCTGGCATGTTTTACTGATACGGTTAAAATCCACCCGACCCAATTTTAGGTCCCAGGGGTCCAAGTCATTGTGTTGCAATATTCAATCCATTGTCTAAATCTCTGGGTTTGCACGCTTCAGGAGGCCAGCCAGCCTTCACCTGCCGCTCTATCTCTCCCATCATGCTTCGCTTCTGGCTCCAAAACATGCCGTTTGATTTCAAATATTTCTTTAATCTTTAAAATGTATAAATAAAAGACAGTCTTTTTAAACTACTGATGACTTTCCAGGGTGAGACGCAAACAAGTCATAAAGCCCTTTGACTTTAATCTGCTTATGTAAATAAATCATCCAAAGATCAGTAGATCCAGAAACAATTCTTTAACGTCCCGCCAAGATTAGAGCCATGATAATCGCCAATGGTTTAATGAACTCCATTTGCAAATAATATACAACAAAGTAGGCATAAATCTCATCCCAAGAAAGAGAAAACTAACCTTAAATTTTGTCATAAGCTGGGAGCACATTGCATAAACTAAAGCATATCCTTTTCCTTTTGGGTTTGTGCATTAAAACCAAACCCAAAACTGTAATGAACAAAGTTGCAGCAGTGATACGATGTTGTTTGTTTTAAATATTGGACTGAAACACTAAGACCATTAAAATTCACTCAAGAAATAAGAAATGCGGTCCTCCAAGGAGAGACTTCAACTTTCAACACGCCCTCTGCTTTTATCAACACACCAGTTCCAGCTCTGTATTGCTTTCACACCGAAAGGATTCCTGTTGAGTTGAGCAACGCTAAGTGAGCCAGAACAGATGCCATCACGAGAATCACCAAGGTAGCACAGTTCACACTATTCAGCACACGTAACCAAACACTGGGCAAAATAAACGAGTTGTCTGGACGTGCAGAAACATATGAAACGTCTGTGACAGCCAACCCCGATTCCAGGCCCATGCAGGAAAGAAAGACTGAACATGTTATTTATGCTGCAATAACCAAAGGTATTTTATTAAATACCACTGTATATATAACACTGACGAAATGGACCATATCAAACAAACATTTTTCATTGATTTATATGACATATTTTGGTTTTCTTACAAATTATAATATGGGAATTTATTTACTTTGAATTAGTGAATAATTTTCTTTTTCCACATTTTTGCCAGCGTAACAATGAAACTACCAAACATTAACTATCTCCTGAAATGACAGCCAGATGACAAAAGTCAATAACGGATAACAAACAACACTATAATTTTTGAATCAATTACATATGGTGGTTTTAAAATGTTACTAAATTGTGGTTCTAGTTTCTTGTAACACCCAAGAAGTGGCAGCAAGTGGATATTTGGTATCTTCCAGCAACACTGATGAACATCTTAGATTATTAAAAAAACATAATGTTTCACTGGTACTAATGCATGCTTGATATTACTTAAAGTACAAGTGGTATATTATAGGGCAGATCCCTAGCTGATTATAAATTTCCTTTTTTAGAAGGCAATGTTGATAACTTTTAAAACATGAGAGTTTTCTAATATCTGTGAATTCACTGTGGACTGAGAGACAAATCAGACATAAGTGCTTGATATATACTTTTCAGTGTATTTCACTTCTCTACTCACACGTTCACTTCGTGTCAGTCAAGACGTTTTTTTACTTGTCAAAAAGTGAACATTCTGTTGTTTCTGCTCCTTTCATGAGCGCAGTGGGGATATCAGTTTTAAAAAGTTACCTTTGTTCACCACAAACCGTTTATGGAGCATAAGTACAGGCTGTAAGGTACAGTATGAATACATGTAACATATGTAGCACATTTTCCCTTCAACCAGTCTGGAAACATGCTGGTGAAATTAAATCTTGTTTTACACTGAACTCATCAATTTCCCTGAGGACTTAGTCTTCCAAAAAAAAAAAAAAAAAAAAACTTTCATGCTGTTCAGTATAAGTTTCAGGACTCCACCAGTAGGGCCTAAGCACATTTTGATTTACTCATCCATGAAATAAATTATATTAGATAAAGAACACCACCTAACATAGGATTTGAATCGTTTACTGTAGTATATGTATAACCTGTGTCATAATATACAGATTTCATAAGTTTTATGATTTTAAAAAGTGTGAAAAACTTAAACTACAACCTGACAGAGTTTAATCCACTAATATTCACCTCTTTTTACAAGTAGGACATCTGTGGCTTGTTACTTGATTTTCGTTTTCTTGCATACATACAAAATTTCTACATGAAACATTTTCATAATTTGTCACATTACAACCACAAGTTTTAAGGCACTTTTACGGGATTTTGTGTGACAGACAAATGAAGATGAAAGAAAAGAATACATGGTTTTCCCAATGGGTTCAATAATTTTAGACATGTGAAAACAAAAATTTGAGGAGTGCTGCATGCATTTTGTATTCAGCCTCTCTGAGTCAACACTTCAGATCCGCCTGCAGCTACATCATCACGACTTGCCAGTTTAGGTGCAAAAAGAGCATCCAGAGAACATTATCCCTGTTTACTCTTCTACGCAGTGTCAAGCATTGTTAGACTTGATGCTGCTTTTCCACCTCATATTATGCAATACTTTGCACTGAACTATCAGATACCATTTCAGTAAAATACATTAAAGTTTTTGGTGACGTTCAAGGAATTTGAAAACTTTTCAAAGGTTTTCGTTGAAAATTTGTTTCACATTCAAGTAAAAATATTACATTACTGTATGGTCTTGACTTTAGAATTGGCTTGACAACATTTTGTTATTTTGGATACATGATTAACTATGCAATATATGATGAATATTTAAACATCCAGACTCTTTAGAAGAGGATCTGCTTCGTAGTTTAACCTTCCTTGTATCTTTGCTGCTAATATATAACAATAATAAATATTGAAATGATTTATGAGGAGCTTCCCCTTTGCAGGTGTTCAGGCATCAGAAGAGAAACATTAAACTTGGCATGGAATAGGCTAGAAGGTAACTATTCATAGAGCAAAATAACAATGCTAAGATATACACTGTTTATAGGGTAAACAGAGCAAAGGAGGGATTGATGGACAACAATAAATTTACCATGAATCCGTGATTCTCTCATCCTTTGCTGTTTATCTGTAAAGCGATCTTTTGTTGAATTGTGTTTAATATTTTCCACATTTCAACTATGATGCAACTGGACTAATATTAAATGATATGTCTGCTCAGGTTTGACCCCCCACTCCCTATTTGTGCTTGATTTATAGCAGAGTTTATTTAAACAGATGTTCTGTATAGAAGAACAGTTCTGGGGGAAAAAAGAAGAAAACTAACCCCACAGTGTCTCATTACCCGTAAAATCATCATTCTACAGACTGAGACCAGTTGCAGAATGACTGCAACTTTTATAAATAAGTGACTCAATGTGTATTAAATATGCAATGCTATGTCAATCTTTACAACAGAAAACTTGATACAAACAAAAATATCCTCAGCATAAACAAACTGTCTAAAGCATACTGAAACCTCACCTCTTTGGATTCACTGCTGACGGGACTCAGCATGACAGAGTACAGGACATCTTTACCTCCCAGGAAGAGCCGATCACGGTACTCATCAAGAAGGACAGCGCTGAGTGAGAGCTGGCCGTCATGGCCGCTAAAGATGGACGACCTGTTGGTGGACAGCAGGTCTGTAGAAAGCAGAGGAAAAGAAAATGTTAGCTGGAGTGACACGGCTTGTTGTTTTGATGTCCCTGTTGAAAGGACAGAGGGACACATTTCATCACATGAAGAGTTTTCCCAAGCATCCGTTCCTGCTCTCATCGCAGTGTTTGGAACACAAACGTGCTCTCAGCTTTTGCAAGGAAACATGGATGCAATTATCTAACAGTTCAGCGTATGATGCATCTTAGTTTTGGGGTTAAGAAGTTAAGTATCAAGCACTGAAACAATTTCCAGATGGTCCTCTTATATCATCTCTTATTCTTTTTCAGATTTCCCCATATATTATTATAGTACTTTTCACCTTCATCCACCAAATGTAACATATTTCCCTTGGTCCTAACAATCAAATTCTCCTTTTTTCAGAACCATCAACATAGTCTCCTAAGGGTTAAAACCTACTAAGAAAAAAAGTGAGCATCGAATAAAAACAGATACTTAGCAGGTTTTTCCATTAAACATATAAGTGCTGCTGTTGCTTTGCAGACCAAATCCCAGCTTTGTAGTTTGCATTTTCTTCCCATGTATGCAAGTTCAGTCAGGTTACTGCAACTTCATTTTCCAGAGTGTGAAAGAAAACTTAAACAATGCCAACATGTAGTGTCAGTAAAACAACATCTTCCAAGCATCCACAAGTCATTTTGTTTTAAATATTTATAATTTGTGTACAATACAAATAATAATTTTAAATCTAGCATTTCATATTCCATCAACCATACAGTGAAGCCATTAAAACCCTGTTTAACACGTGTTTCACATCTGTCTCATCTTTTCGGCTTGCTTCTTCTCCAACATTTTGACTCCTTCTCCAGGTAAAGACATGAGGAGAAAAAAAGTTGCACATGAGAAGTTGTCACATGACTGTCAAAGCCCCGCTGACGGCGATGCGGGTCTGAATCGACGTTCTGCCCATCTCTCATCACTCGTCTGTACCACTCTCTCGCTCGGCCCAATACACCCAGGCAAACATGCTCATGCAAACACGGGGATGGTGAGAATGGGGCTCGAGTCACTCAGCACTCAGCAAAGCATATTGACAGAGTGAAGCTGGAAGACCCCGTCACACCTCGTCCGTCACTGCGGATCTGTTTTTAGTAGAGATCTCCATTTCTCACCCTCACAAAGGTGCAGAGACGGCAAAACTTTGCTGTAGGCTCATATTATTTTATTTACTTATTTCCCATCAATTTGCTTGTTTTAGAACACTTGATTAATTATATTAGCCGTCCGCCTTGTACCTCTGTGCAAGCGGCTCATTTGGAAGAGTCTCCAGTCACCACCAATTATCAGAAGGTAAATGCAGGTAGGAAGTGGCTTGTAAAAGTAAATATTGCACAAAAGAGTAGAGAAAGTTGTGTTTGGTCAGTGTTATCTTTGTTGTAGTGCTTCTTAGCAACAAGTCTGTTACCACTGTTTGTTAATTTCCCTTCAAATGGGGCAACATTAGGGAAAACATATCTGCTAGTTACGTGGAAGAGTTGATTACACATGTTGCTCCCATTAAAAAAAAATAAAAAATCCAAATCCTGTTTATCAACACAAAACAGCTTATTCTGAAATTTACTTGATTGGTGTTATTTATTGGCTTGGATGAAGACATGATAAGACATGGAAACTGTAAAGACGTATAAATATTTCAGCAAAACACTGCAACTGTTGGCAAAGAGAAACCTCGTTAACCTTCTGCTGTATAAAAAAAATAAATGCACAGCTTGAGGTTTAAAGTGGATAAAAGTAGGCGTTCAGCATTTGGTTAAAACTTATATTACAGTGTGTGATAAATCAAATCAACCAAAACAAGCAAACAAACAAAACAAAAAAAAACAGAAAAGCTAGTATATATGAAATTCCCTCATTAAACATGAGGAAGTGGTTGCTATTATGTTGTGAAGAACTTTTTGGCATTTCAGACATTTCTAATATGTTTCTTAGATATTTTCTTCAAAGCAGCTCAATTAAAATCCACGCGAACTAGAAAAGTCCTATCCTATGTAATGCCCACAGAGACATAAATTATAATAATTATTTCTACAAAAACACCCTAGTTAGCCAGCAAAGAGAGGAAGGCTTTATAGCTGCTGGTAACATAATAATGAGGAAAAAGGAAGTCGGGAGGCAACAGGGATTTTCACAGGAACAAAGTGAGTTAGAGCAAGGACAGGAAAATCGGGAAGAACAGGATGATAACGTGGAATTAGGAGCAGCAGAAAGTCAGACAATAATGAGCAGAAAGATAAAGATGTAGAGGAAATCCGAAAACAGACCACTGACTAAAGGATTCATCAGAAATCACAACATGAATCATACAGAAAGACGGAAAAGGAAAGCAATATTGACCTCACTTTGCCTCTGACGATTTGTCACTGCCCTTTTATCTGTCACTGAGTTTATTTCACACATGCCTTTAGGGTTTACATTTTTATAATTCATATAAAACGTGATGGTGCTGAAGGAAAAAAAATTACCATATGCCTTCACAATATCAGACGTGTATGAATTTTAGGCATGTCCAAGTATCAATAAAACCTCAGTGATCTTTTAAAGACCGATTCAACATCTCAGATGTCTATGAATCTCTTCTTTGAGATCGCACACGAGAGACCACAAATGCAGGAACATAAGTTACGTGGCAACATGAGTGGAGTTCAGGATTTTAAAGATTGAAGACAGTATTACTGTTGGCATTTTAATGATCTGGATCCACAACCTTCCTCTGTTCTTGGAAAAGACATGCGATTACCTCAAAACGTTGAACATTTTCCATCCATCTTTCTGGTGGTTGTTTTGGATTGCTACACAGCAGTCCGTTGTCATGTCATCTTACATGCCTCACTGTGCCAGATTCTGACATAATGCAAAATCTCAAGTCTTAATGCAGAAGATTTTAGAAACATATGAAAAACCCAAACCGTTTATGTGCCAAGCAGGCAGAAGATTAGGCTTCATTGCAAAATGTTTCGGATGATCCATCTATTTACCTCAGTGCTTAATTAAACGCTGTGTCTCCATATAAACATTGCCCTGCAGATATACATACAGTTGTTGTCAGTCAAAACAATACAAAGACTGTCAGGTATGTGTGGCATGTTTCAGAAGATTGTGAGAAACAGTTTTTTTTTTCACCAAAAACACAAACACTGTTGCACATTTTCCAGCTGATGAAACATCCAGAAGATTAGCCATGGAATGTTAATATCCTCATCCCGCTCTGTATCTGCCGTGTATTTCCGAGGCACAGGAGGATATGGTGCCTTATGTGAAAAACATGCCAAAAATCACCTCCGTATGCATCCAACACCGAAGCGTATGCAATTTGAGCTCAGTCTAAAACAGGCTGCCATGCATTTTCTGAGTATTCTGCAGGATTAATGTCCTGAGAAGCCATATGTTCTGCACATATTTTCAAAGTTTCCTATTATCTCATCTGACAAGCATCTGACCACTTGGGAGCAATCAAAATGCACTGAACTTTTATTCCTAGATGGTTGTTTGGTCTTTAAATATGAAAACAAAGAAATGGCACCGTCACAGATAAAGTAATTTGATGTTTGAAGCTACAGTGTGTAACTTTTATTAAAAAAAAAAAAAAAAAAATACAGTTTCAACGTGTTTGTGTTAGTGTCACTATGTCATGATGGTGAGGTTCTTGCTGAGTTGACTCCACTTCTGGTACCGTTTCCCTACACTTAAAGTGTAGTATGAGACAAAGGCTTTGCTCCTTTGCCTTCTCCCAGAGCTCCCAGTGCTAACTAGAAACACTTAGTGCTGTCAGTCATGCCTGTGTGTGTGTCGCTTCCTTTCCTCCCCGCTCCCTTCTCTCTCTATTCAGCTTCTCCCCTTCAGCAGAGCCTGTTATGAATGCTAAGGCTAGTTAGCATAGCCACCGATGACATTGGATGAAGAGTTTTTCTGTAATGGTGAGTTGTCTCTCCGCAATTTCCACATGTAGGAGCATGTTCATGAGGATGATTGACAGCGCTAAGTCCCTCCCCCTGTCTCTAATTGGTGGTTTTTCCACCAGGAGTGGTGCATTTCTTCAGACAGCAATAGGACCACTTGGAAGAGAAGGAGGAGATTGATCTTTTCACAGATTATCTGTCTCATGTTATGCTGTCACAACATGGTGGCAGTTTTAACACATGCAAACTTTAAGGCAAAGAGCCACTTGTGGTTTGCACAAAACCACAACTTGTACAAACATTTGGTTAGTAGGTTACAACTTCCTTAAAACATCCAGTTACCTCCCCTTGTGTGCCTTAAAGGAGCAAACATTATGTGGCTCCTTGACCAAACTCACAGTGTGTAACTTTCATCTTTGTGGCATTCGTATTTACCCTAAACTCATTTGGAAGCATAAGCAGAATCCTCTTTAACGTCTCCTTCTCTCCGGCTCCACCTGTAAACTTCATAAATCACTGATATATACACGTCCCTTTCTAGCCAAAGCGAAAAATGTAAGCACATAAAAGTGCATTACACAATGACACTAAAACAGGATAAAAGGTTAACAGCTTCCATCTGTGGCTTGTTATCACTCCAGCAGCTCATCACTTCACTGCTGAAGTCACACCATCGTCTAACATCTCACGAGCCACATTTCAACTCCTGCTGTCTTTTCTTCTGCATCTCTCTTCCTTCATTATTCCCCTTTCCTCGTCTCCATCACGCTCACGTTCGTCCTTAATTCCCCAACTCATTATTTCTTGTCTCTTGAAGTTGCCTTTAAATGCCATATCTTGTAGTTTCATCTCTCCTGCCTGTCTAGATGTCGTCCCTACTTTCTGCCCTTTGCAACCTGATCTCTTTTCCTCCTTTGTGCCATTTTTTTCCCCTTCAACCATCTTTTGCCTGCAGACCATATATAGCTGCAAAGTTCTGACAGCATCCAAGGTGAAACATCTGTCTTCAATGTGTATCGTTTCCCCGCAGGCAGCGGGCCAACGCTGCATCCACAAACAGCAGACGTGCC